GATGCAAAATAAAACCATTTTAAGCCTGTTTGCTAGTTTTAGGTGGTCTCCTGGTGTTTAAAGTGGTTTTGGGCCTGACAAGTGCAAATTGTCAGACTCGGAAATCAGATAGACCAACCTAAACCATCTAAGACCAGCTAATTCACATTAAGTACTTTTTTTCAGCAGGTTTATGCAAGGATATAGTACACCTATTAAAGGGACTCGTTTATGTCATATTCAGTCTGCCCTGACTGAGGTCCATTAGTGTGTAAGGAAGGATTTGACTTGAAGGACGTGTTTCTGGCTGATGTGCCATTCAGGAGTGCAACAGATAGATAGTGTTTGTCTCATGCTTACAGTAGTTTGTCGTGCCAGTTCCACATTACAGGCCTCTTTCATGTTCCTGTTGCCGCCTCCTCAGTGCTCTGCCTCTGTTGTGGTCTGTAGGCTGCTTGACACCCAACTTCTGAAGCCTAATTTGGGTATGTCTGTTTGTACGTCTTCTTAAAAAAGGAAGACACATGTATGTATGCAGGCCTGAAAGTGTGTCTTATATTCTTGCATGTCAGTGTGTCAATATGGTGGGCAGTAGGGGTGTTCTCCCTGACGTGTCTCATGCCCCATATGGAAATACCCTTGGCCCTTCAGTTCAATTTCTCTCTGTGTTTCAGAGGCCCTGAGGAAAACAAATACCCTCCACCCCCTCACTGACAGAAAAAAATCCCCACTTGTCAGATGAGGGGATTTTTTGATGGTCTAATCAGCTCCATATCCCAATCCAGAGGCCTGGAGCAGTGCAGCTTGGTCCAATAAAATGCTAGATGAAAGACTGAGTCGCATCCTCCTTCCGTTTAATCGATGGCATCTTATCTCACTTTTTCACCAGCTCACTAGGGGGCCTTAGCAAACATCCAAGGGGGCCTCAGGATTACTTAAAATTATATAAGTTATTATTAATATAGTATTAATAATGTAATTAATATAATAATATAACATATAATTAATATACTTAAATGCAGTAATGTAATTACTGTATTTTTTATTGATATATTCATAATTTAATATTAATATGTAATATTCTTAATTAATCTAATTACCTAATTGTTTAAAATTAAAAAACTTTAAAATGATCTAATTTGATTAAAATGTTTAAAAAAATGAAATGAAATAATTTTTTCCCCCAGTGAATATAATTAAGTTGATATGTTGACAGTTTCTTAGTTTCCCAGTTTCTATTAGTAATATAATATA